TTGGCTTTTCAGCACTAAACCCACTTTCATCGGTCAACTGGACCCACCTGCTGTAAATAAGTATACATATTGGTAGCTTTAGGGACGAATTGCGCAATCTTTGCGTGAAGTTTCATATTAAATGTGTATTCGTTAAAGAATGTTTCATATCCTAAAAAGCTGAAATATTTGTTCCGCTAATTCCACCAGTAACACACCAAAATGAAAATATTTCTCCGACTAGTAAATGGTAGCAACAAGGGGTCAAGCGAGGAAATTCAGCACTGAAAAGTTGAGCCCCTATCTGTCTCAATTTCTGTGGGTCCCATTCTATAGCTCGACTGAGTGTTTTTGTTGTGGGTAATTCGGAAGCGGCAATAGCTGACATTTGCACGCATCGAACATTCGTTCGATAGATGAGGTGGTATAAGTACAACCGCTAGAAGAAAATGCCATGGACAGCCCGCAGAAAGGCCACTACCAACGTCGACCCCGCAGCGCGCTTAAACGATACGTCTATTTCTGCCGGTTGCCGTAACGGCGTTCACAACCACTAACCAAACTCATCCTGTTTCTCGTTCGAGCGATGTGTACGCCACAGCAGATTCGTATACGCCTCACCCAGAATGGTGTGTATTTAGAGAAGAAGATGAACGCCGCGAGTATCCTCGTTCCTTCTTTAGCCAAATGTTTAGACCTATGTTTTTCTGACCTATGTTGTCTAAAGATTACAACCGTTAGGGGCGCGGGGGCCGCACCAGGGGCGAGAAAACGAAAACTGAAGAAGGTACGAAGGGCACCAGTAGCCGCCGCTGCTCACGGCAGCCAGTTGCGGGTCGGCAGAAGACACCGGGTGCGCCGAAGCCGTCGACGAAAACAGAGAAGGAAGCAAAAGATACGAGCGACAGACAGAAGACCCGGCCGAGGTCGGTTCGCCGTGACATTCAAAGAGGGGCCCCACGACGTTCGCTCTGGTCTGCAGGTGACACTTGGTAGCAAATAACGGGCCCACGGAACGGCGAGACGCTGTGCACGAAACCAGCTCTGTATAGAGATGAGTATGCGCTAGCGGCAGCAGCAGTACTACATCCCATTTTCATAGCTGTGACAGAGGCTTGATAGCTGCTATACCACAAAATGAATACCATCACATTAAGTCGCTGTATGGTGGTAAACGCAACAATATTCAATACGATCTTAGGCAAATCCATCCTCACAGGAAGCTTTAAGCGCAGGATGATTTATAAGCCCAGTCGGTATGAATTAAGCCACCTGTTATTATTGATATAATATTTTCAAATAAAATGACGCAGTACCTTCGAAAGCAATCGCCACGTCTCAGCATACATTTCGCAAGACGAGAAGCTCTCTTTTTGACTTTATTAGTAAATTAGCTGGGTAGTAAATTCAGATGTTTTTGCAGGTACAGACCACCACTATAGCGTCCACCGCAAATTATATAAAGTGAGAAAGTGTAATAAAGATGTTCACAAGTATGAATTATTATTTTCAGATGCTCTCGGTCAGCAAATTTGAGTTGCGGGCTGCCTATGCATCACTGAAAGGCAATTTTTCAATAAAAAATGCCTTTGAGGAGGCACGTCAAGACAAAGCTTCACTGCAGATTCAGTTGTCATTACGTTTGATTTTTACAGCCAACTTTTTGTTATTTTTAATGTATATACGGATACTATGGGTCACTTGCGTCGGACGAAATCAGTATTATAACCTAACGATCATTCGTATGAAGCAAGAAGAACTCGAACAGAACTTATTATTATTGTATATATGTTATAGACGGACCTATTTATCACTCTGTCATAATAAGGCTGAAAATGAATTGGGCAGTAAATTATGCCCCTGAACAAACCGCAGTTTGCAAGCATTACCTAGCTTTTTTAAGCTTTATTTCAGTAATATCCGCTATGAAAAAGTCTATTAATTGAGTCAGCGTATTATTATGAGATCGGATGGTAAAGCTAATTTATAATTCTGCTAGTATGGTATATGAAAATTTATATTAGTTTCTCTATGACTTATTTATATAAATTTATTCGTTATAAAGTCTAAATAAAATTGCCCTTTTTTTAAACTCTAGTATATAGAAGATTACAAGTCGATATCCCTTTGGGGCTGCCCAAAACCTTTTTTAGTTTTATTACTGCTATCGTGTGATAGATCCCATGGCCTAAAACAAAGGCCATCGTAGATACATCCTCTGAGATAGCCCAGTAAGGGTAAACAATTAATAAGGATAAATAATTTTTTTAAGAAAGCGGTTTTCCCTGGAATATGTCAAAAATTGCAAAATATTTGCTACTACGTAACTCTCCCCAAACGTCTATATTCAGCCAGCATTTCCTAATGTCGCGTCTTTAAGTCTATATCAGAAAAGAAGCAAGGCAAAGACGCTACCTGGTTAATATCTATATTTTATCCCAACTGTCAGTTGCTTACCATGGTGCAATTTGTTGCTGACTGGCTGAGATAATATCTGTGTAGCTTTCTGTTTTAATACATCCTTGAACTGGACTAATGCAAAACATACCTTCAAAGTAACAAGGTTCGTTTGCAAACAGAGTCTGAAAAGTTTCAAATATTTAAGTTGTCTTTAAATTCTAATGATTTAATAACACCGTCTGAAAATTCACATAGGTACGTAACGTTTGTAACCACAAGAGCCAAACTTTGGACACCTTTGGATTACCGAGACTGAAATTGCAAAATGTTTAGATATCATTTTCGGTAAACTGAAAGGACATATTTGGTGATGCATTTTTGTTCAAAGAACCATAAGCGACCATTTTCAGTTGATGCGTTGCATGTTTATGGAACCTTATGGTGCTTTAGATAATTAAGCGAATAACGAGTATATTTTCCTTCGCTGTTGGTAGTCGCAAGAAGTTTAATATAATCAAGCTCACGATTTATTTTCAGGTAAAAACTAACAGAACTACAAAAGCATCATTGCTTTTGCATGTTTTAAATGGCCACTTTTAGTACCAAAGCAAATTCGAAATGATTTTGTATTCAAGTCGCGAAATTTATTTGTGCAGAATTTTACTATACTTAAGGACGCTCTAATTTTTGTGATTATATTCTACATAGATTTCCATTAGAGCAACTTTGGATAGAACTGTCACATGTTTTGCTAACACATTGTCGTATGGTATATCGTACAACCAGGCAGTAATGAAGGCTCGGAATGATGCCCAGCCACCGCTCTTCAGTACCTCAACCGTGTGAGCGCAAACTCCAAAAATACAAAATAAATCGTTCTTCTATATATCGATAACGTTGCATACTTATGTCCAAAGCTGGGTGTATCAGTCGTTGTCTGAATGAATTTGGTTCCCACTAGATCTGTGCCGGCCTCGCCTGAGGTAGTGTCGCCCACTGTGAGCGAACCAGTAATCGCACCCGACGAATAGAAGTGAAAGCATTTGGGTTAGTACAATTACAAGTGGAATCTTATATTAATAAAATACGTTTAAAATAAAAGCTAATTAGATAATGATTTTTAAAAAATGCCGCTTAATTAAGAAGAAGTAATCTCGTACTATCAGTTAATCTCGATTTTGACACTTACTCATATTAAATGTTGGTTATCATCTATTTGCATGCTTCATATCATGTCATAGACTTTCTTTGACGTACTTTTCAGCCTGAGATTTTTTGCAAAGACGTATTAATAAAAAATATTTATTTAGTATCAGATAACAAAGTAGCAAAGACGATATTTTTTGTTATATTTAATCGTTAGTCATATAGATATATATATATATATATATATATATATATGAGTGAAAAATAAACATATTTTTACTAAACATGTATGCTGGGTATTACTTGCAGTTTTATGTATACATATATTTAGTTTATGCATTAAATATACGCCTCATATAAAATGAAGGTGACATGATAACTTGCTGTATCCAAGCTCCACGACGGGAAAACTGCACAATATGTCACTGAGTGCGATTAGATAATGCTGAAATTGTTTGCTTATCATGTTTAGAGTTATATATACAGACGTGCTGAATATCCTGATATGGCTGAAAAGCATTTTATTTTTCGTTTTGGGTATCTTTTGTCTAGTTTAGGCTTTTAAAGTTATACGCACTGTACACACTCATCATGGAAACAATAATTCATATAATTGTAATAGTCAAATGGGCTTGAATAACCAGTTTGCAACTAGACCTATAGATCCTACCGAGAAATGTTATTTGGAAACCGCATTAGATAATAACGATTCATCAGTAAGTAATAGTCTTTTTGCGAAAAGCATCAAGCCAATCCTTAAAAAAAAAAAAAAAAGTTCATACGCATCACTACGCTCCTACGATCTTAGCAAATGGGGCAGTCACTGCTGTGCTACAGCCATCAGGTGTAATCGGTAATGGATTTCTAAGATTTTGTCCAATAGCTACTAAAACATTGTTCAAATTAGTGCGAATTATTTCTTTGAATCAACTACACTGTACAGAAAGAACTTTTTCATCGCTTGAAAGTACGTTTGATAAATTATGCTGCAGCTAAAATTATTATATACTGTGACAACAATCCACTAAGATTAATTCTTGTAGAGCTCTCTATTCTAAGCGGTCTTTGTAGTACACCTGGTTTGTGAACAACACTTTTCGAAAAGATTAAACTTTAAAGGTCGTTAATTCATTTTTGTGATTAAGTAGTAATGGATTAACCATAGAACGATTTATGTATTGGTTTTCTTGCCTGGCTTTAAAAATGCAGATTATACAGTCGAAAGTTATTTTTTCTGAAAATTCGTTCTACGCAATCTCTGTCCATTTTGCGTTGACTTAAACAGATCCGCTAAGTCTGCCAATTGGATTTCGTAGAAAATCCGTCTAAACTATTACTTTATTTTCTATCGTTGTTTTGATTCATTCGTTGGCCTGCCGCTTCTGTATAATTGTTCACGACGGTTGCGTCGCATGTGCGTCTGTAATTCAAGTCAACAATAATGCATTCATTCGTTTATAGAGAGCGTACGCTGCAGCGCCTCTCTTGATGGAACGGCAAGCCTGCGCCGTCTTCGTGTAGTTTACCTCTCACCCGTAAAGCCCGTACCTTTTACTTTGCCTCATAACTCAAATCAATCAAATTGAAATAGAAAATAGCGTCAAAAAAACATCATTCGTATTATTTTTCTGTCTATCGAAAAGAGGAGTAAATCAGCGCGCACTTTTACAGTAAAACAGCAGCATTTCAACAATTATCGTTGTTGACTAGGGGTATCGAGTGCGGCTGGTCGTGCTATTCCAAAACAGCCACAAAGCGGAGAAACGCAGAAGTACGCTCATTGCCATCAGCGCCTCGCCCCTACGTTCTCATCAGCAGGACCATCAACATTCAAAAGAATATTATCAGCACAATCACGCCTGTTCCTCTCCGATTTCTTTTTCTAGAAAGTGTTACCAGTCATTGCTGTAAACAGGCAAAACCACGAAGGGAGTGAGCGATTTTCGTCATCGTTATTGTTATGTGGTCGTCGTCAACCGTGAAAACTTACGACGACGTAGAAACAGCTGATCTGATCTGATCCAATCGCCCCAGAGAATGCCCAGAGTCGTTGATCGGAAAAAACAATAAACCTCTTTCTGCTGCTGCTGCTGCTACTACTGTCTGCTGGTAACCTTGGCTTTACGTTAGACGATACACGAAACGGGGGCCAAGACAACAGGCAAACTCAACAGCGCTCACAGTTCCGAGAAAAGCCGTGATGAATGGAAGGACGCTTCAGAAAAAGACACAGTAGCAACCGGCAGCGGCGGTCTACTTCTACGACGAATAAAAATTCGGAAAGTGTAACACATATCGCTGGCTGGTTCGCAGCGGTCCGCCAGTTCAGCTATGGCAGAAACCAGCTGAGTTAAGCAGCCGACCACCGCCGCTGCCATCGCTATCCCCAGGTGAGCAATAGAAACACGATAGCGACACTGCGTAACCACTTCCACGACGGTAAAGACGACGGGCGTCAGTGATACAGTTGCTGCTGGCTGCTACAGGGCATTTTTGTTTCGAAACATCTAATTGTGACTGTGACATTTAATGCTGCTGCTGCTGCTGCTGCCGTCGCCGCCAGTGCTGAGCAGACATTGGAAAATTAATCAGCAATCCAATCTCGAACTGGTGGTGGTACATAGTAGTCATCGTCCCTGTCATACTATGGCATAACAAGCTAAAGGTGATTATAGGCTGAGGTCATTAGTTGACGTCGCGTGGCTCCGCAGCCGCCGTCGTTTTTGCCGCTGTTGCGGGGATTACCAGAATTGCTGGTGTTCACCGTGCCCGTTGCTATTTGTCGTGCTAGTGATGACAACAGTGTAAAGTCCTGCAACAAACTAGGCACGACGACATCGAGCGAGTGGATGACAGCAGAATCGAATTTAGCTCAACTAGAAGTTCTGTGTCGATCGGCGGTTTGCGTTAGTGCTCATATCTGTTTGCGTCTTCTCCTTCGTGTCGTCGTTGTCGCTTCTGCGTCGGAAAAGAGGGAAACGCGGTGAGGGGTAGCACAGAAGTGCCTAGGAAGCTCCGGCAGCGCAACTCAGTGTCTGTCGTGTTTGACTGGTCGTCACATCGTTGTCATCTACGTTGTTTGTCTGTGTTGTCATCTCGCACAGCGCCTTTATCGCCCTGCCTGTCATCATCATCAGTGTCTCAGCTGCAGTATGCACCGCCTGCTTGGGGCATGACGGGCCGTGCGTGCACCACGATTCTCCCGCTCTTTTGCTTGCTCTCTCCCGCAGGTGCTGGATATCGCTGGATGCTTCGTTTAGCGGCCAGCGCCCAAAGTGGAATTTCAGCCACGATTAAAAGAGAGCAGCGTCACCAAACGCTGACTGTGCAGTCTTCAGGTGAGTTCGGTGCTGTATTTGTCAGCCCCTATTCAGTTTCCGAAATTGTTTAGTTTTCATCGTGCTGATTTTTACCTGTTGGTACTAGCACTAGTCTTGAGATTGTTTGCGTGTCAACAAGCCCAAAAGTTTGAAAAAAAAAAGTGTCAGCTTCGGCACTGAATCGTCGGTGTTTTAGCCTCACTGCTAATCTGTACGATAACTTTTCATTTTGTGCGCTGCCTTATTGGATGGAACGGATTACAATCGGACTGGCGGAATTTCAGTTAAGTAAATGCTGTGTTACACGGTGCGCAGTGATTTATTGATTGCAATTTAGTGTTTGTGTGCGTGTGTGTGTGTGTTGTGAGCTGAAACTGTGGGCAACTTTTCTTGTTGAAACTAGCACTTGTTGTCTATCGAGACATTATGTATAGACTTCACTAATAGTATTCTATCATTATTGCCGTCTCGCTCTTCGCGCACTATATATCGGCATCGTCTATCCGCAATCCAGAAGGAAGCACCGTGTCCTTTTCTATTGGCGGTGGCTCGTTATAGAGTAGCTGTAGTGGAGACGGTCGATCTGCTGGAGCACTTTTTGCTTTTAGCTTGGTACAGGGCGAGTTGCGTTGTGCACGGTCAGTGGTCGAACTCAAGTTGCAACTTTTCAGTGCTCACTGGTTGTAGCTATTGCTTCTAGCGTCAACTGCTCTAGCATGTTACCCGTCGGCAGACAAAATACAAAACTTTAACCACTGTTGACGTCATCACTGGCAGCAGCAGCAGCAGCAGCAGCAGCAGCAGACTCTGTTTGCTGCTGCAAAGAGCAATATCCAGTGTAAATCGGTCGATCTGTCCGTCTGTCCATCCATCAGTCAGTTAGTGAGGTCGGCCGGCGGGCGGGCGGTCGGTCGGTCGGTCACCAACAACGACAGTCTCAACAACGCCGCGGTCGTCGAGAAAAAGGAAAACACTACTAAAACGAAACAGGAATCAAACGCTACCTAGCTAACTAAGATGGCTTTCATGGAGGGAGGAGGCTGTTTCAAAAACCACAGTATCTTCGTTAACTTCAATCAGGACTTCACGTAAGTATGGACCCATATTATTGTCGTCGTCACTCTGGCACGTTCATCTGCATCAGTAACGAGATTTTTCTTTTCTCCATTAGAGTCTATACCACCAGCCTTAGCTGCCAAGTGTTTTCCTTATAATATATTGTCCTTTTAGTGTCCGCTGGTGCAGTAACTGGTCGCGTGAAAGTGTAAATAACTATGAATGTTTGCTACGAATATCCGATAAAAACAGGGAACATGGATGAACTATAACATAGTGACAAATTATAGCAGCATTTTTTTTTTTTTTTAATAAGTGCGAGTTGATACAGATCCGTGTATTAGAAAAGAAAGAACACTACAACGAATAATGTACCTGTGAACTCTTGGCGTCCATCTTGTTGAACCTGCCGATAAATAATACTCCACCTAATAACGGGTCGTCGACTTAGCGATATAAAAACGAGCCAAAGATGGAAAGCTGTGTTGTACTCGAATTATGGCATCCGATCAGGTTGTCACAGCGTAAGCACAGCCGTCCGTTGCTCAGCGTATTCGTTCATGATTGGTAGCTTACCATTGTCAATAGAATTTAGCAAACGGATGACGGAATTTGATTCAGTACAAAAAAGTAACTAAAAAAAAAATATGGTTTTTGATTAAATTGTTCTTCGTGGGTGTGTAGGGTTGAGTAAGGGGTAGTATGCGCGAACGTCAGCCGAAAAGCGCCCGCTGTGCGTTCATCAAGACGCGGTGGTTGTGTTATAAAAACCAGGTTGAAGTGCACTTTTTGCCTAATGTCGACGGATGGGCAGGTGGATGTAGAATAGAGAAGATGCTTAGTAGTAGAGAGCTGTTCTCTATTGTCGTATACATCCGTGAAAACCAAAATAGAGCCCTGCCCGGGTTTGAACCTGTACGAAAAGACACTTCTTTCTTGCTGTGCCTGAGATATTTATCGTATGGACTTTAGGAAATAAAGAACCTTTACATAGAGTTAATTATATGTTTCATTTATTTATTTTACTGACACAGGTCTTTAGCTGTCGGTACGAATAAGGGCTATCGACTCTTTGCACTAAATAGCGTTGATCGACTGGAAAAGATCCATCAATCGGCAGACTGCGAGGATGTAGCTCTCGTGGAGCGGCTCTTCAGTTCGAGCCTCGTTGCAGTGGTCTCATTGCCAAGCTCTCGAAAACTCAAGGTTTATATATGAAATTGAACAAATTTATCTCTTGTTCATACATTGTGCGAATGTGAATATAGCATAAATCTTCAAGAGCTCACGTTTGATGCTGTTGATAAACATATTTTTGAGAGTATGAGACAGTCAAGAAGGCTGGTAACAGACTTTTAGTATTGAGTAAATAAGAAGTCGTATTAAATGTATAAAACGCACATTTGCTTAACAATAACGTTTGAATGTTGCCTGTAACTCTTCTGTATTCTTACTTCCTTCAGGTGTGCCACTTTAAGAAAGGAACAGAGATTACAAGTTTTTCCTACGCCAACACCATCCTTGCTGTCAAACTTAATCGATCGGTGGGTTCTTATTCCTTATATGGGCCATAATTTGTCCCAACTCTATGACCCAACTATGGAATGTCGCTAGTTCTGGTAATGAGGTGTTTCCATTGCCCAGTTGCAAAAAAAAAAAAAACCACGAAATCATTACATGTGTACAGTTACTAAGTGCGGTATCCAATTGAACGTTGGGTGTTGACTACGTGTGGGACGATATATGTATGATTGCTTAACTCATCGATACCATCAATCTCTTTATAGCACTAGTTGGTGTAAGGAGGTTTTCTAATAACATTACAATGCAGGCAATTCATATATTCTTATCTGAGCGGTTCTTTCGTTGGAGTTTTGTTTTAGCGAGTGGTAGTTTGCTTGGAAGAGTCACTTTACATCCATAATATTCGTGACATGAAAGTGCTGCATACAATTAGAGACACACCAGCTAATCCAAAGGGGGTTTGCGCACTCTCCAGCAACACCGAGAAAGGTAAGTTTCGTTGGGCCAATACGACATTATCCTGTTTTACGTGACCACGTTCGTTCAAGATGTGAATCTGATTTTTAGAGCTTTTTCTTTTTAAGAGACGAAGATTGTCGCGAAGCACAAGTGTTCATTTCAGGGAAAAGTTTTAAAAGCTTTTATTTAGAAATAATGTTTCCAAACCTAACACTGTGATAAAAATATTGACTTGTTATAATGTTAAACCTATTGGTATGCAGGTGTGACGTACTTAGCTTATCCGGGTAGCACGTCTATGGGGGAGATCCAAATCTTTGACACAGAAAACATCTGCGCCAAGATTATGATCCCCGCCCACAACTCACCTTTGGCGGCCCTCGCTTTCAACGCAAATGGTGCGGCAGTTAAGCTAACGTACTTGATACTTATTCTTTATTTAATTCATATAGTTTGGCGAATAAAGCTATTTTCTGAACTTCTTATGGACTGAATTCTGTAGCTCTTGTCGTGTGACTTTCAATATTTGCTTTATTACTGTGTTCTAAATTATAGGCAGTCTTCTCGCCTCAGCATCAGAGAAGGGTACGGTAATCCGAGTGTTTTCCGTAAACGATGGCAGCCGAATCTACGAACTCCGTCGAGGTCTCAAGCGATGTGCTACAATTTATTCGCTTGCCTTCAATGTCGAATCTACACTACTGGCGTGCGCCAGTAACTTTGAGGTAGGTAGTAATCGGAGCGAATTGTAGCGCGCTTTGTGAAGAATTCATGACAAATCCATTTCACTATATAGTAACAGAGATGATTTTGCGAAAATGTTTTATCGATTCTTATAGAACTTTCAATATTATTTTGTCATAGAAAATAAGCGACATACATAAATAGTGAAATAGAGCTTATTGAAATTTCAGTACTAGTTCGAGAAACTTTAACAATTGCTATGGGAGCTTTCATACATAGACATAATAAAATTCAGCTGTAGCATAATCTCTTTTAGCTGTTACAGAAAAGCAAACTTAGACGATCAAAATTGCTTTTATCGGCGACTTGAATATAGTTTCCGATAGTATATAATTTGTTTATTAACGCCTTACAGACCGTGCACATATTTAAACTGGATGAGAACAGCGCAAGTGGTGGTTCAAGTGGTGCGGCGGGCACACCTCAGGCTACTGTTGGAAGCCTATCCGATGCCGATGTTGGCGGTGGCTGGATGAACTTCGTGGGCAAAGCAATCCTATCAGGCAGCTCAAGTCTACTTCCAGCTGCTATGTCGGATGTGTTTGCTCAAGGCCGATCGTTCGCTACGGCACGGCTGTCGTTGACCGGTATACCCTGTGTAGTAGCTTTAACAACAGTCGAGCGCCAGTGTCGCTTACTGATCGCCTCTACTGCTGGCTACTTGTATGTGTACAACGTCAACACGGAACATGGCGGCGAGTGCACCTTCTTACGTCAGCATAACCTTATCGACGACTCGCAGGCCACGGGCGTGGTAACAACCTGCGGCGGTGCAACCTCACCAGGCAGTGCCGCACCAACGTCAACAACCGCGGCCAGTGGAACCGCTCCGGCCATTGCCGGTGGAGGTACGTCTCGTGGCCCTTCCGAGCCTAGCTTCAAGCGAGACTCAGATCAGCTAGAGCAACAGCAGCACGAGCAGCCACAATGTAGTTCTGATCCGTCCGTCGCTTCAGAACGGATAGTCGCAGATAATGGGGTAGCAATAGCAATGAGCTACGCGAAAGCCGTTGCTGGTTATCCGCCTACCTTAAAAAGTGTCAAAGATAGCGTAATTGATGGTGATGTTGATCAGGCCTACGACGCTCAATTACCGCTCATGCAACAGTGTCATCACTAACGATTCCGGCAAACATAAACAAACAAACAGAACGAAGCGAAGCAAAGCACAAAGCCTTATTACCACAGTGAGACTATCGAATGAGAGATTTCTATGTGATGAAAAGTTTTAAACATACTGCTATAAACTCTTAATTATCTGCGGCGCCGTCCTTTTGCCCGTCCTTTTGCCCGTTCTTTTACATGGCTCGAAAGCGTGTAGTAGAAATATGTCGCCGCTTTATTGGTCAAAGCCTTTCGACGATCGTGCAAAGCAGTTTTTTTCTTCTTACAACGAAGCTTAATAATCAAAACATACTAATGTAAAGTCTAACCCATGGAAATCTGTGCTTTTATGCAAGTGAGGTAATTTGCCTGTCCAAGCAGTGCCATCTGTTAAGCTCCGGGTCGAAACGTTAACAATCAGCCCATAGATACGTTTTGAAGATATGAGTTTGGCTTCAGCGTGGAATCAAATCGCGCATCATCTACCAAAACATTTTTGTGCCACCTTGGTCTGTTGCGTTGCTGTTATGTATTGCACACACCTATTCTACTATTTTGTTAGTACCGTTATTAATATTCGTAGATATTTCATTTGAGCTTATTTCTCTCGTATTTCGATAGATGTGCTTCAACTGATGACGATCCCGGAGTAATATTACGGTATAAAACTCTCTACGTATTATCTCATTGGCGCTTTGTGAACGTAAATGCTGGAGTTCTATTCGTTTATTCGAGTGCGGTAAACTTAAGTCGAGAGTCTTATTAATTAATGTTATTTAACGTTGGATTTCACAAACGTTGATTCGCTATATAGGCCAAGGATGATTCACGGCCTTTTCGGTCTTTATGTTGACTGCAGCAGGTGAAAAAATATCGTACTATATTTATCTGCAATACATTTGTCATTTCAAGTTAAAAATAACAATATTAACATAACTTAAAAATGCCGTCTTAATGCTGCCTGAACAAATTGACTTTCGTAACAACTAGTCATTGCATATATTCATTTATACAGCCAAGCGTGGTCCGCAGGATAGCTGGAAGCATAATGGCTATTTGATAGTAACTAACCATGTGAAATATACGAAATTTCACCAAAAGTTAATAACAAACTGTTTTGTTTTCCCTATGTCACCAGACTATTCATTATTCCGTATACGTTTGTATGACAGGCTTTGTGTACGTATTTGCCATACAAAACGGGAATGTGTTTCCACAACTAAGTTTTGCCTTAAAGTTCACGTAGGTCAGTTTGCGCTCATCTTGATTGTTGTTTGCTTGTTGTTTGTTTATTGAAATCTCTCTTCACGTCTTAGAGGAACTGCAATTCAAAACGCTTAAGTTTCTATCTTACTTGGCACACATGACTCTAAAGGAAGCGCGTTCGTATTTAGAAAGCTTTTTTTTTTCTTTTTATTAGCACCTAATTAAATGTCTAGCGTTGACATAATAGAAATACATTTATGATGAAGAAATACACGCAGCGGTGATCCACTATACGATTGTATAAAGTATTTACGAAATCACGCAGCCCTGCAGCAGTTCGTCGAGCCATAAGTGATGCATTTTCAAAAGAACCAGGTGCACCATATATATATATATATATATATATATATATATATATATATTCTACGCTAATGTGTATACAATTTAAAGGGTTTAATGAGGAACAGTTCGTATACCTTCCTTCTTACCTGATGTTTGTTCTTGAAAATATATAATTACCTCTATACTTAAATGCATGGCTAGTTCGGTGTCTGTTTAGACACTAACCTATTTTATCGTTCAGTGAAGTTGAAAAAATAAAAAGATAATATGCTTGGTATTATGATGTCGAACTACCATGAGAAACTTTTAAATATATCGCTCACCGCAGTCTGGATTGATGCTATCTTTGGCGACTTTTTCTTAGAATTTACAAAAGGTCTATAACAAACGATTTTATGCAGAAACTGTACAGCGTTTGCTGTGGTACTTCAGCACGGTTTTCCCCCACTGCAAGAAGGCCGTTTTTTTTTTTTGTTTTTATCGAATCCGTCTACTAAAGAAAGGTTTGTCTGAACTTCAATTTCAGGATTTATGGAGACGATACTGCGTGCCGTATTTGGGCAAGAGTTTTCAAGTAGCGGATCATCGCGCTATTGAATATACAGTCATATATAAATATGTAAATTAAATATTGACTTTAGTGAGAAACGCATCTTATTTTGCCCTTAAGTGGCATTCAGAACCGACGGAAGGGAATATACGCCCGAACGACAAATATGACTTAATAAAGGCTTCTATTATATTATGCGAAATTTGACTGTCAATGTTAGTTCCCGCAATAGAAACCCAGAAAGGAGTTGTATCGGCAGGTGTACTGTGGCTATAAAGAATGACAAATGTCATTAAGTTGATTTAGAAGAAAGCAAATGGCAGATAGCTACAGGTACTTATTTTCGAAATCTTAGAGAGACTTTGTGTACAGAGTTTTTGATTATATGCCTTGTTTTAGAACATCAGTTTGGTTCCTAATGAACGTTACGTTTTGGTAACAATTTTACTTGAAATCATCGAACGTATGTTGCAATGAGTTCCTGGCTTATGTCTATTTTGAGCTAGTTTGATCCAATGTTTAACAGAGTTTGCACGTGGGAAAATTTCTGAGCCTTAATTGTCAGCATTTGTGGTACAGCAGTACAACGCATTAATGCTTGACGAGATAAATTATAGATATGAGAAAGGACTAATACAAGGGGGCATTGTCTTATCAAAATTTTGATGGCTTTTGCATCAATTTAATCCTTGATGGATGCTGCTTTAAACAAGAGAGTCCGGATGTGAATAGTTAAACAATGTCCGTTTCAAACACAAAAAATTTACATCTCTAGAATTCGATATCTGAAGGGTTGCCGAGTATGGCATGAGTTTTACGCTTTCCGACTTCTCTGATTTTTTCTATATAGCGTATGACATACCGACATTTTGTTCTCAATTTGGAAATATAACTGGAAGGTTCATGTCAGTTCAATTGGTTGTACGTTATAAAATAAGCAATAGTAATATTCACATATCAACTATACTCTACGATGCTTCCTGGTACAGTTTGGAATCACACCTGTTAAGTTGGATACATCCAAAAAACTGAAATCTGAGAGGGTTTTTCATCCAGCTTTTCAAACAGTTCTTTAATAACTTTAGGGCAGCTTTCAAGACCAACAGTCCATTCCGTTGATGTCTGGCTAAAGTACCGCAGTAAGACGTCGCAATGGCATAAATCAATGCCAAATCGTAAAACTCCTTGATTCTAAAATTCGTCAATGAATTAGAGAATCAAGTTTTAATCAAATTCTTTCGCGCGTTCGGTACTTGACGTGAGCAATACGTGCTGTAAATCTTAGTGGCCAGTCACTGAAGGGAGCTCTGGAGATAACCAAATACACGAAAATACGTCGTATTTGTATATATCAGTAACTGTACGTTCCTGGGTTCCTTATGAAATCCTTCGTTCGGTCGAATTTCTTAACAACAATAATCTGCCTTGAATGTGTGCCCTACTCGATAAGAAATATTACGCACCACGCCAATGGCATGTTTATCGCGCTGCACTACGTAACCAAATCTGGTTGAAATTAAAATAGTGACGCCGTTGACTCCCTTTTTGTTGTATTTGCACTGTGCCTATGTATTTCAGAGCAACTCGAAGACACCACAAAGGAACCACGTTCTCCTTTTAGAAGTCTGCGTCTCCATGATGAGTCCGAGTTTCCACCAATGAATCCCGGTCTGGAATAGAAGTCCGCCGTCGAAAAGGGTTCTGCATCCCGAAGTCCAGTTGAGTATCCAATTGAGTCCAATCCCTGGACTAGCCTAAAAGAGGCTTCAGAGTGCGACGCAGAATCTGCAAAAGTGGACCAAGCAACAGGCGATCTAAAGATCGAAACAAACTTGTGGGAACCAGATCGAGTTCAGCAGATAAAAAGCGGTAATTAATAGCATAATTGACTTATTCTTGTTCGTGGACAGGTTGGCGGCCATAGCACGATCCCGAAGCAGTTTATGTGGTGGCCGCAGTGACAATAGCGGCGGCAACGATGAAAGACTTCTGATCGTCCCAACGTTTTTGAAGGGCTTTTTTGTGAAGGATCGCAAACGAAAAAGTATGAGCGGTCAGTCTGAAGTCAGCTGAATCGCTGCAACGTTTAATGAGGTATTCAACTGACGTCAGAGCAAGGCCAAAAAAAACAGCAGTAGACTGGCGGAAGCGGGAACAAAGGAGGCAAGAAGAAACGGACAGAGGCACAGCGGAATGAAGGCCTCGGGGTGGATGTGTGACTTGTTAGAAGTTCTGTTTGAAGTGCTGCGTCGCGTTTTGTGGAGGTGTTCAAACGAAGGCGTGGTACGATTATGAAGCAAGTTCATGTAAGCAGGAAATCGTGTTGCATATGGATTTGCGTTGAAAGAAAGCCAGGCTACTGGGTCGTTTTCTATCTGGTACTATTTAATCGGTGAAAATGGTTGAAGTGCGTTGACTTCTAGTGACATAGAAAAAAAATTTCCCCAATGGCGGTGATATTAATCCTAAATAACGGTAGGATACACTAATGATTTTAATTTTTTATGTAAAAAAAAAAAAGGAAAATGACATGCGATGGCAGAAAAATGGAGCAGACGCAATAAATTTCAAAAGAAGATGAGAACCGACATTTCCGTAAGCAGAAATTGAGTGCCGGAAGGGTATGGAAGATAAATATGGGAATTTTTGTATTTTTGGGTGCACGTACGTACTTTAAGAACAGCCTCTGTTTTTACTTCAATAAGATAATTATTTTTTTGATCGGAAGAGTACCCGTGTGACGCACGTGTATTCTCTATATAATATAACTCTAGAAAAGTCGACCTGGCAAACCATCCTTTGGACGGATCAATTTGAAGAAATAAGATTGAACTACCGAAAGTGTTTTTAAACAGAAATATGCACCCACAAATAATCATAACTAGCTACGCACAGAAAGATACACTCCTGCACATATACTTAGTCACACATAGACGCCAAAAATTCACACTATAAAAAAGTATCTGAAATTTAATTATGATACGATTTGGAGAACCACTCCACGATCATCATGCTGCCGCAACTACATACCACCTTACCGAAATGTTGTACATTATTACACTATCAATAAGTATTATGGATATGCTGATATTTAACATTGATCATCATCGTCCAGCGTGATAAAGCGCGGCGCGCGATTTGTGCCGGAATACGAAAAAGGAACGCCACCACGCTATAATTGAGGAACGACGCCACGGAAAGACGTTAATACAGATGCACTGACACGTAATATTGGCGTCTATCTTGAACTTTAGCTAGATTCAAGTGCTGATATGTCGTACATTCTCCAACTGTAGAAAACTACGAGCTATAGGAATATCACGTTTATTCTCATTAATTTAGTCTATTAGTTAGGATCATGAGTTGATTGGCAATTATTTTTCCGGTAAGTATAAACATTATAGTTTTGCTTATGTAGCTTGTTCTTAGGTCTGTGCTTTGGTATTTGGACTGAAAAGAGGGATACGGCAGTGGATGCAAATGCTGCTTTTGGGTTAGACTTTTCTGCGTAAACGTAATCTGTAAAGGTTATGTTTAAACATTGAAGAGTAGTAGCTGAGGCAGGATATAGTTGTTGTGTAGCATTAAATTGTAACGAACATTATTTGCATTATATTTAATAATAACAATTGTTACCTGCTCGAAGCGTTAGTAGGTATAATTTAGTTTATGGCTTATCATATCTAGCGCACGGCACCATAACTTCGTTCGAAGTGGCAGTTCAGGCAGAAATTTGTGCCGTTGTTGGCATTCGTAAAAGTTCATTTCATTAGTCATCAATGCTTTAGCTATCAAACAGGGTTTGGCGCAGGACGACTGAAGTTAGTTAGCCGTTACGATTCTTCCTTTTCGCACTTCAGCAAGGCGTCATCTATGTCCTGAGTAAGAGGTTATTTGATCAAGTAAAAATCGTTCCGATAAATGGTCATTTCACGACTCTTCGCATAATTCTCAATTGATAGTTTTGCGTCTTCTTTTTCAAACGCTGCTTCATAACAGTTGTCAAACTGACTGATTTTGATTTTCCCAATTATTAACTAGAACTAGAATATAATAAACTACACGACCCGCAAATATCAGATGAGGATGCGTCGCTAGATAATGGCGTAAGAATGGTTTATTGAACGCAGAAAACCTACAAATACTGATAACAAAACACGTTTAAAACTAGAGGTAGCCTTCTCTCTGTAATCTAACTGCCTCCAGCTCCCTCAAATGATGTTTGTTTATACTGATAATGATGATGCTAGTGATGAGATTATGGTATGGCAAGGAAGATTAGGGGGCCGCTACCGTTCGTAGGGGCGCGGCCGATGGCAGCGTAGCTATCTTAGCGCTCGAACATTTGTCGGAGATGTGTGTGCTTATAAACTTGAAATACATCGAGAGTATCATAAAACAAACACAAGTGATGATTATATAATGTAAAAAGACTGAATGAACGCGAACAACGTACCATAGAAAGCAGGACCACTTCACCATTGTTGAGTAGATAACCAATGTTATCAAATAATAATAATAAATATATTGTATATGGTAACTTGTTTGTGTGCTGCTTTACGGCCAGATCTGCAAAAGACTTTCTCTAATTGCATAGCTCTGATCTTTGTTTTTTCTTAATTAATCGTTGTATGTGTTCGATTACATATTAAACAGGATATAAGGATTATGAGTGGCAAAAGTCTAGACACTCGTCAGAGTAGACTTGCCCTAATAATAGGAAGGCTTTAGATACCATGTATTTATCGTGTTGTTGGCTGCTCTAGCCCTAATATATATACGCGAAACTTAATTTATACACTAACGTGCCAAATATACTATAACTCTATGTTGTCGTTACGGCAAATGACAACTGCTAAACTAATATTTAAAAACGGTCTCAGTAAAAAAAAAATTGAAAATGAAAGAGCTGTGGAAGTTCGCGAGCCCCATTATCGCTCGCTGTTCTTTAGGCTCATAGAACAAATTGTTACGACTTGGCCCTTGTGTCCACATTTAAAATAGACGGCAGTACGTTTGCTGATCCAAAATACACTTCCGGTATTCTATTACGATCCCAGCTCTTACTTACGTGGTTATTCTAACGCCTAAGTTAAGACCAGTTATGTATTTTGCCATAATTGCTTTGTGACGACGCTTAAAGCTGTTTGCAGTTTGTCTAGGAAGATGTGTTCAGTGCCACGTTGCTGAATCATGTCTTATACCCCACCTCTGATGCGAATTATTCAGACATAACACAAGCTTTGCGTATACACAAATGAGTAAATTGTCGCCAATGGGCTAAAATTATTGCTGAACGTTTATAAAATAGATTGTGTCTCAAAAAGTAGAACATTCGTATTTAGTAAAAGTGTACATGAACTCGTTCAGCTTTATTAATGGAGAAAAATGCTGTACAACATAGATGTTAACACAAGCAGTAATAACCATTATGGCAAACGTGTTCACATAATCTTAACGAGTGAGAAAGAGTTACTGAGGTAAACACCATAAATTGCTTTAAACGTCAAGTAACAAAAGCAAACAAAGCGTGTGCGATAGCCACACACAGAAAAAAGCGTCTTTTGAGATTGTAGAACACGCGCAAATATTATTCGCCCTACTGCATTCCCTTTTTCAGTATTGGCTCAGTTGTTCAGACAAGTAACTGTAAATCGGTAGTATCGTAGATTCGTAGTCTTGACGTCCCTACACAGGTTCGTGAAGCAAATTTTACGCACGGCTCTGTGAACTAATTGAAAGCGAATGGGTGACAGCCTGTTATTTTACACGAATAGACTGCCAATACAGGTAGAACGCTAGTAGAGTCGAAATTGTCAAGGAGCCAGAAAATAATGCACTGTATCGTAGATTACCTTCTACCAACCGTTTATGTATTCGGGGCAATAGCTTCATTATCTATTATTTATCCGCCATGACCGCAACAGACGAAGCCATAGTACAGGAAATAATAAAATTTCCAAGGAGAGTGAATAGCTTTACTAGAAACCTATTTTTTGTGATCTAGGAGAGCTTGGCCTTCTAGACGAGATTTACCTCGTAACATTAATTACTACTGATTCTTCAACAAGTCCGAGGTTCTTTAAAATAGAGTCTTAATATCTTTCGAATTTTCGAACGAATTCTAAAGTAGGAACAGTTTCACATACTTCATTGAAGCTAACTTTTACGAACCGGTTTGCCACACCCAATCTAAAATAATGAGAGTCACGATATCTACTATCTCTTAACAATCGCAGTGGCACCCAAAAAACTGCTAACATTCTGCTAAGAGATTTGAGTGGGAGGAAAGATCTCTAGGGCTAAATTATGTGGAGTCGACTTGTACGTACAAATTTGTTACAAGTAGTTGAAGTACGTGGAACAATCCCGACTTCGAAGATGGACCATCTCCAGGACAAGCGAATCTGGTTACATCGTAAAGCACAAATCCATGAGTCAGTCCTGTGAGAAAATGTAGCTCCAAGGTAACGCAAGGGCTCAAGGCGGTTGCAGGAGACTAAACATTATTTGCAGGTTCATTTGAATACAGGGAAATGTTGAGTTGGTGAGTCTTTCACGGGCCTCCTCAGGACCAAATACAGCATGCTGCGGCTGGGTCAGCGCTTTTCATCATAAAACGTGCTGCAGTGTGTAGTTAAAGCTATTATTACGGATAGTAATAACAGGAAACTATTGTATCATTTTGTTGCTTTATCTTAAATTTGCATCGTGTTCAAAGGAATTCCATATGGTTATAACAGAGGTTCTTTTTTAGCACGGCAACGCACTCTATCCTGGCGGTGATCAAACTGAAAATGTTAAGAGTCAATAGTTGCTTTCTAGGTAAATTCTCAAGCAACATGTGCTTTTAAAGGGTTTTCGATGATACCCCAATTTCAAAAATACACTATTCTTTTACTTTAGCAGTCTGTTAGACGGGTGTCTACTCAGCTCTTGTAGGTCCAGAATCTATGTACCGACAGCTGGGGCAATAAAAAATATCTTTAATTTGTATTCCAGTGCGCCGACAAGTGCGGTAGTAAAGATAATTTATTTGCATATATCTCATTTTAAGTAGTATTGCATTTAGCATGTTAAGGTAAGTTCAATTGAAATTCACGTAAACAGATCGTCGTCACAAAAAAATGTGTCGCCACAAAAGCTGAGCGTGAATAATACAAATATTTTTCGGAATATAGCATTTATTATCACGTTATGTATATCTTTTATGAATATGTCGTCAAAGAGACATGTTGATTACGCTATGAAAACGAAAGTCACAAACAGAAGAGTCATCATCATCGTCGTGGAATGGAAGAGCCAACAAAATGCAAATAAATGTGTCTTCAGCTCGCCAGGACACAACAAGGACACGCCGCTCAAAATGTAAGGCAAAAAAGGCATGGGAGATTCTTCACTGTCTTTTCTGTCGCACTTTACGGCCTTTCGCTGCTTGCCTATTCATGCCATTAAACTGTATCTATCATGTACAATCGTAACTCGTGTTCGGTGTGCTTGTCTTTTCGTTATAGTCGCCTTATTGTTCCTTACAAGAAATTAACAAATCATGTATAACTTTAAATATGCTTTTCGACAAATGGCTGCAAACTATTTTTATGACGCTAAAATACCAAAAAGGAGAATAATATTTGTGACGCAGTAATCGTCTTTGTAATCGAATTTCTTCTGGAAATGTCTATGTTGATCATCTCGAATAATATCATCAGTAACTTACAAGTCAACACGAAACTTAGGCGTTTTATTAGGCTGATCTCTAAAGTTCTTAGATTTTGAAGGCCAGTCTATTTATCCATTGTAATACTTAAAATAGTTATTTTTCTTATGGCTAGCGAAAATAATTTCTTCTTATCTTTCTTCTGCGGTCCTCCAACCTTAAAATTAAATGTAAAGCTGTGTCTACTTAGGTAGAAGATTTTCGTCCGTGAAGGTCTCAGCCAACCATTTGAACACTTCTCTAAATAATGACGAACTTCGGCGGATAATTTTCACGTGGATGTATAAACGTTTTTCATAACGTATTAATTTAATTTATTACGGTTTTTGGGTCGATATTTTTGTTAACTTGTTTAATTTTGTTCAGTTAGAATAGAGAGGGATAACTTCCACTACTTGTTGAGTAGAGGTACCTTTAGCAGTTATGGGTTCTAGTAGTAACATGTTGTTGAATGATCATACTAGAAAAAATAATTTGTTTGTTTTTTGTAATATAAGAAAAAATAAATAGAAAAATAAATAGTTTGATGAGCGTACTTGAAAAAATAGCATATAAATGTACTCACCAGATCACCTGAACCATCCGGTAGTTACTAGTGAACTCCAAGATAAATGTTTCAAGTTCTGCGTTCAGAATCGTATTAGCATCCAATCAAGAAGCAATTCAAGAATCCTTTAGTGAGACTGACTATCTTTAATAATCATGCCGATTAGTTGACACCTGTGGGTAAATCTCCATTTGTTGTTCCTTTGGTTTCAAAACACGAGGAGCCGGAGAGATTATTGTGCTTGGAATAAATAGGTTACGCTGGTAAACACGAGCAGCGGTGACAAAGCTTCCGTTTACTTACTTAGTATGATGGTAAAAAAGTTCTCACGCGCATTATAGAGCAGCAGGGCCGACAACAAACAAAGGCTCTCGTTGGCTAGCTCTATTCACTCACTGGTCGTGCAGAGAGAAAACTGTTCTGTATGTGAAGGAGAATACTAATTAGACGTACTTTTAATCTGTTGCGGGTGAACCCGCTGCTAAAAATAACATGTTGTATTGTGCCCTTTGATCGATCGACTGAAAAGGTGGACAAAGAAGCTAACGGCAACAGGCCATATATTTGTGATACAAGATGTCGTTGAATTAATTACTTATCAAAGTTAAAAATCCGTTTGAACAATAGCCGTCTTCATTTAAGCAATCGAAGAACTTTATAGAACTAGTCTGTATAATGACTAGATCACAGCACGATTTGAAGGAGAACATCCCCTTCATCGATGCAGTCTCACTTAGTCTGTGCCTATAATGGGTTTATTAAGAGAATTTTAAGAGTTACAATCAGTGCAATGCATGGATTGAGGTATTCTGTAATCATCGCTCTTTTTTCTTTTCGTATAGTTTACGTAGCCTTTAATCTAGAAAAGTCACAGATTTGACACGTAAGAATAGAACTTGAATTTGATAGAGGCCACCAAGCCACGTCAGCGCAAACAAAATCTGCTTCTTCCTATAATTGTCTAATGGCAAAATGTATAGAGATACAACATTGTACGGCTTGAAAAAGGACAGAATCGAAAGGCTTTTTCCTCGCTTTGACAAATCATTTCTGTGTTAAGTTAGGACGAAGTGGAAAAACTTGAGGTATTGATTTCATGTTCGTTAGAAACCAAGGACCAAGGAACACTGAATTATTGTCGACACACTTAAGTTGATGTTAGAACAATCTGATACCAAGCGTTTTAATTTTCTCATAAACTTCTTCTCATAAAACTCAAGCTTGCAGCAGACGGCGAAGTTTGCAGAGAAGTTTTCAGTATGTTACTTAGCTTTGGCTTTCGGAAGTTGAATCAATTTTTTTGTTAGCCTAAAATATCCAATCTGCTTTGCAAAATACAATGGTAGAAAACATTTTTGCATCTATGTTTATTTGAGTATATATGAACGTGAATGAAACTGTCAAAGGTATGTGACTCCAACTACTGAAACCCGGAGAGGGAATCTAATTGAGTTCCAGTAAACGTCAACCCATTACAAAGCATACGGAAAGTTAACGATTTTAACGAAACGCTGTCGACTACAGCACAGGAACGAAGAAAGTAAAGTGGAGCTTTAATGAAACAAAGCCTACCTATTTGTTTTAGCAAGTATTCTTCATGTTTCATGCACCGAGCAGTGAAATAAACTAAAATATTTAGAGCTAGCAAGATGGTGGATAACCGACCTCTGGACACACTCTAGATAGGTCTGAAAAACTACTCTAGTTGAAAAATTCAACTATTTGATAAATCGTGTTGGTATCGCCAGACGACCCACTGTTAGCTTGCACCGTCCCGCTGCAGCGATAAACGCCGTAATCACGAGGCTGCAAATCGTAAATGTGAAGAGTCGCGATATCACCATGCATATCAGCAATAAATCTGTAAAGACAAGTAAGACAAAGAATGATTTGGTATTGAAAATCGTCAAGTTATCTGTTCTGTTGAGAAAACTCTTGTAATCCTAAAGCACACCTCTCGGCCATGAAAGGCTAACTTTGGGGTGGGTCACCCGTCAGAAAAAATTCGTTATTGAGGTTACTAATCAATGAAAGCAATACGTAAGTCTTAATCATTTATGCGAGCAGTTTCCTAAATTTAAGGTAATGATGACGATCTTATAAACACGAACCCGACAATGAATTCAGTTAATTTGAAATAACTGACCGCACCAGCCAGCTGAAGAAGCTCGACACTAATATAGCAATGAAATCACAGCAATCATCTCCTACTACGCAAAAATGGGTTATGTAATTTCATGTTCGCCCTCCGCGTTGTTATGCTGAGGTAAGGAAAGCTTTTTGTAACAATGGCAATTGTTAAACAGCCAACGAAATCCCACATGTTCGTTCTTCTGCCCACAACAAAGTCTACTAGGTAGTAGTTATAACACGATTTTTAGTTGTAGCATTTTATTAGAAAGTAAAGAAAGAAAAGAATCTTTTCTTCGAAAAGAAGGGCAGGAAAAATTTGTAGAGTAGGTCAATAATCACTCGCATGGAAAATGGTTCTGGTGAGTTGCAAAATAAGTGTGTACGGCATTCTAGATTGAGCACACATTAAATACAATAGTCTAGCAATTTCTGAACAAAATTTTACGCCGTAAGTAAAAGACAGGATGAAATAACAAAATCGTATGTGAGCGATAAGTACATGGCAAAAACTAGAAAAAAAAACATCTATATATATATATATATATATATATATATATATATATATATATATACATAGGGTGAGGCGTCTAAATTCACAGTTTTTCTCATATTATTTTCTAAACCTGAAACAAACGGTACTGTTAGGCGTAAACTCGCAAAAGTACCATCCAATACGCTACAAAAAAAAAGTCAACGGAATTAAGTTCTGTGATAATACCAGGACAAAAGCTTAAAATATGTAAGGGTTTATAGTGGCCGAAAAGATCAAAAAGTTTAAAAAGGCCTCGGTTCAAAAAGCAACGGTTTTTTGAAAAATTGACTGTTGACCAAAAAAGGTTAACTGGAACTTATTTGGACAAGGTAATTGCCAATTAATATTCTCATTTCTAGAACAGCCGTTAATCTCTGTATGAAAAACCTACCTCTATCAAAGATGGATTTATGAGCCATTGTGGTAAACCTTCAGGCCTCTTAAATCTAAGTTCTATTAACGATTTGTTAGCTTGTCTCATGAAACTCTTCCTCGGGTTTTTAGAAGTCGCTTAAAAACTGTAAAAACAATAACTTCGGATTAAAAATTAAGTTTTTGTCTTGGTAAAGATTTGTTTAGAGAAGAAAAGTTGGAGAGTAGGTGGTCTTCACTCAAATTTCGAAACGATACGCTGTCGTTTGCCATAACGAGTTTGTGTTTTGTTTTAGAAAGAACTGATTTTCGTCTGATAGCAAACATGACGGATGAACATATGCCCGTTACAACAAACAGCCCATCAAAATTTTCCTAATCCGAACGCTCCATCTTTTATATATATACATATATATTTATTAAAAAAAAAACTGATATTCTCTCAAGTGGTTTTGAAGGTAACTTGTTTATATTTTAGCTGGTTATTTCTTTCTTACACAGATAAGGCATTATAAGTATAGAAAGGCCACATAAGTGTATACCGTTTGTGTGTCTGAAAGCGAGCTTTTCGAAAAATCGTGCACAGATGAACAGTTAATAAGAAGAACTAGTAATAGGAAAGTGGTTTATGATGCTAACAAATGAAGAATTGCTTCAGAACTCATTCCGAATTCGTAGTGGTTTTTTTGAATTAACATTTAATAACAAAAAACTCTCATATACCGTACCCGGTCTATGTACTAAAAATTAGCAAGCTATATTTTCCCCATATGAACTGTGTAAAAGCATCAATTGATAATAGGCACAGCTAAGCAAAAAGGCAATATCAGTTTTGCCTATGAAACTAATATATGCCGAAACGGGAGCGCTATTATCATTGTATTAATGTGATTAACTAAATATATGCCTAAATATATACGAAGCTGCGTTAAGGATTAGAGATCGTGGATATTGTTCCTGAATATCGCATTAACAGTAACGTTGTAATGGGACAAGTGAATGGATGTTAAAATCCAAATATTGGGTTTCTTAAATATTGGGTTAAATCTTATTGAAAGATCTGAATCGCTTTAAAAGCTGGTAATTATAGTATTATTTAAAAAAAAAAAATAATAATAATATTTACAGTCGAGGTGTGCGAATATTTTCAAGAAATCTATAATAGATCGGATGAAAGTAATAGCCATTTTCAAAGTATCCCAGAATGTGTAACAGGATTGCTATGTTTTGAAATGAGATTTGAAACCTGGGAGATGCACCTTGTTCGACTTTGCTACGCAAACTTGATGAGGACGGAATAACAAACAACTCGTGAATCGGCCAAGAACATGGCCTGCAAGCAGTCAAGTCATACATCTTGAATTTAATTATCTGTCTAAGTGCCTAATAGATGAGCGAACAACACACAGACTGGTAGTTTTTCGTAATCTCTCAAAACTTGCTCAGCACGAACAAACACGCAGCCGTAATGACGGATTCCTATACATCCCTAATTACGGTGGTTTTAATTTCAATGAAGAGCTCTGGGAGATACGTTCTGTGGGGGATTAAAGGAGTTTTATACACTGGGAAAGGCTTCAGGAAAACAAGATCATTGACGCAAATCAATAGCACAAAATGAACGAGCTTATTTAATGGAAAAGACCTGACAGAGAAAATACTACTCAAGGTACAGGTCGTCAAGGTTGCTCTGCAGGAGCTTGACCAGGGAATTCTTTCTAATCATACAAATGTAACTTTAGCATACTTCTACCTTTCCCACTACCGAATTCATAGCAGGAACGGGATTTCTCATCACTAAGTCTGAATATTTCTAGGTGGTGGCATAATAAAGAAAAAAGCTTTTTCTTTATTATGCCACCATAAAGGAAAATTTGTAGATTTGTAGGCAGCAAATATATAATAAATAGATTTGTCGCTAGGGTTGTAAAATGCTATTAGTTTTCGACTAGCCAAATGCATAAATTGGAAGTGTTAAAATGATGCGTAAATAACTGTTCAAAAGGTTTACTATAAACGGAAAAAAGCATGGAAAATCCACAAGACTATTGAATTAAAAGAGCATATGTAACGTACATTATGGTGTTTTCAATTAATTAGATCTTTAATAGGTAATGTAGCCTTTGAACACGCTCGTAGCTCATGGTAAGGGTGAAGGAGTAGTCAAAGAATAATTCAAGCGTTGTATAAAAGAGTGACATCGTTCCAGAAAGGTCATTGAATTGCATGGTAAGAACTTACCGTTTCTCAGTCAGATCAATGGCTTTGTCGAGGCAACCTCCAGAGGAGCAATAATATGGATTTGCGGTATAGGGAGGGGGTCCGTATGGAAATGGGCGGTACGCATTTTCCACCTTAACCCATACGACGCTCTGTAAAATTAGCATATCACAGTATTATGATTGCTTTTAAGTACCCCTGAACGCCTGTAGAGTAAGATGATCCATAAGATACAATAATAATATACATAAGATATAATTCTAGAGGCAGTACTTTGATTCTGAAACCCAGGAGTCGATGGCTCTAGCCTGTTAACGTACACACGCAGATATTGTGCCAATAAAGTAAGATAAGGTGAATTCCTTATAAGGTTTCTGACTAATGCTGTGTCGGTCGTAGCACGTTCATACCAACCGGAATTCGGATGTAGTTTAAAAATCAGAAAGCGACCTATCTGAATTTCAACTTTACATACAGTCAGTTCATTATCATACAATGAAAACGTGCCCTAATTGTAGTTCCAAAGCACTTGCAAAGAGAAACACACAGGTTTTTATTTTAGAACGCTATTCGTATAAGGAATATGAGTTCCTCCTAAATATTCGAAGTAGTTTATTGTACCCCAGAGCATGTCAAACTTTCCAAAGCTTGTTCGCTTTTTATTTAAGGTTCCTTCGGTTGCATTCTAGGCTATTGATCTCGACTCCTTAGGCTTCTAGTCTTGAAATTAATTATTAAGATGTCATATATAGCCGCACATATGCTATGAGTCGAATGAACGTTGCGACTTAAATGGCGAATGGAGTCTAGAGCCGAGGTAACATTCCGAGACATCTAGAAATCGTTAGAACGGTTTTTTTTGAGGTGAGGTAGAATAGACTTAAGAAAATAAAAAACATTGTAAAGGTATTTCAACGTATTCCTGTTTTATAGTATTACTTGGGGGTACACTCTGGCAACGTGTTGCTCATTAATATATATAATGAAAAAGTAGTGGTCAGCTTAGAAAAATTGAAGAATCGACAAACGGCTAATGAATAGTATTGTGTTTGTTATGGTTAAGGAAAACATTTTTTCTAACAACCTGCCATTTTCTCAGAGATAAACACTTCCTATTGCCACTATGTTGTAAGTAGCTCGCTGAAATAAACATATGTCTGCAAATGTCAGAGAGATTTGAAACTTTATTATTATTTATGTTCAATTCGTTAGTTATTAGAAAGTTTTACTCGATGGCACAGTATTTTACTAACCGATACAAGCTTGTTGCCGTCTTTCGAAAGATTGCATTGTAGTTCAACATGGGGTCCACCTCGGACGAAATAGACGGAACCGAAACCTGCAAATTGGCCAGGGAACGGATCAACGTTCTTTGCAGGTGGATGATAATCTTGCATGTTTTGTCCATAATAATAATAATCGTAAGCTCCATAGCCCGGCGTCAAAGGGTACCTGAATGAATTAAGCCAAATACCGCAAAGCGTTCATATACTTTGCTCAACAAATATTATGTTCCTTGCTATCTGTATATAGTTATTTCACAGCGTGTTCCATTTTGACACAATTTGAAAACCATATCTGCGTATACGCAAAGGTCTAAATTACAATTTTATCTAAATACGATCGGCCTGACCTTAGCTATTTCATATCAATCATGGAACCTGCGAGCTTACTATTGCTGGAACAGATTGCTGTGGTTCGAAAAGCTTCGTTCGCCTAAATTTAAAAACCTTAAATAAAACCTAATGTGCTATTGATATTCCGAAATGACCCTGATTTTTACACCATTATATCATTATTATTCAGATAACTGAACCTTTAGGCGAGCGGTAGAATCGTCTGTCGAGAGTATCGGACATTAATAGGCACTGCTAGAAACTCGACATAAACAACAGTGTGTTACGGCAGAAAAGGATAACTGAAACGTGAAAAAATCCGATTTTGGCCTATCAGTCTACTACAGCACCGGCTTACAAGGAGTGAAAACGAATTTTTACCCAAGATATTAAAAATCTATTGATATGTGCTTGGCAGAGAGTTCGTTTTAACAGCTGGTCTGTTGATTATACCCTGTGTTTTTTCAATAAAGAGACCATACGAAAGTGTGGTCCTTGTAAACGTGGAAATTGTTAACGTACCTACGTACCTGCTAAGTTAATATGATGGGAGGCTTCGATAGTTAATTTGACGCCTTAACGTTTGTTGGGGCTGCGTCACTCCACAAAGACAGATATGTACGCTTTAATTGATAAATGCACTAAACAAATGAGCTCTACTTTGATACGGGAACCAGCGTTTCGTACAACGAATGGTTTAATCTCTTCCAACAAAAGCAACAATGTCCAATGGAACTGTCAGAGGCAATCCTAGCTGCTGATTCTTGTTTTCTCCGTGACCAAATCTTAACAGACGTCATGCGCGCTTACGCCTACGAAATTTTTACTTGCTGTATAATACAGGTACACGCACCTATTTAAATCGCTCTAAGAAGTCCTTCTGTTCCACCTCAGTTCATATGTAGTTTATGTAAACATGCATTTGTGTTGTTTCTTTCTTTACTTGGCGCCTTTTTCCTTAGCTAGCGGCGCGTACCAAGTATTGTTAGCGCACCCCTTACTGATCTCATGGATGACCTTGTCTACCTAGAAATTTCAATGAATGTCCAAAGAAGTATTCGACACCTAACGACTGCAAAAAATGCCGCGGTAATTACAAAATTCTTCCCTTCATTTAAGTTTGGCTGCGTCCTAAAAAATTAAACCTGTTGCCCAGAACTGAATGCGGCAGAAAGCGGGTCATCGTCAATCAACCTGGACTGCTTTAGAGTGAAGGGTGGTTACTTACTCGGTGTTTGGCGCTTACCTCATGAAATTTATAGAAGAGTGTGTAGGATGTAACACGAAGGCGGGTTTCAATTTCGTACAATGTGTGCAATACGAAGTATTAATGAAGTGTATATCAAAAACTCGAAGGTATATCAAGACGCAAGACATATAAAATATGTTGTCTTATTGATATATGTTGTATATGTACGCGCGTTTGCAGACTCGGACAACGCGTATAGTAGTTTAAGGTAGTGATTAATAAGAGGTAACCCTTGGTGGTAGTAGGTGGCGGATACATTAAAATAGGGTATTGTGCCACTGTTAGTGGAAGCTGCTATGACATTTTACTTCGTCTTTTTTGAACTCGAAAGCGCTGATGGCTGGCAATCGTAAGCCTTGAGTATGTGCCTTTAAATAGACGAGATGGGTCCGGCTTCCGGAAAAAAGACGCTCGAGACCATTTTTTGTTCATTTCTACTCGCTATTCAAATTGTTCTCGCTATTGCCAACCGAACTCATCTGGTTCTCTGATTGAAGAACCAGATTCGCATACACCTTGTTGAGGCTAGTAACCTACTACAGATACGATAGACGACGAAAGCATGGTAATTACAGTCTTGTCCCAATATTTCGATCTATGTTCCTGCATTTGAGTCCTGCTCTATGTATTATAACCATTATGGGCGCAGAAGTCGCCCTAAAGATGAGAACGCGAAGATGGAACAATAGACACCAATGGACCGCAGCAGCAAGTAGCAATAAGTCGCGGGTCCGCATATACTGATCTATAAGACAAAACGGTAGTCTTTGTAGTGTAGCCTATGGGCTAAATTCTACACGATGTGGATGGATCTATTGTAGAAGGTATTTTCACTACGGCTGTATCTAATGCTTGGCCAAAAGAACTATAACAGCATGTTTACCAGTTTGATTTAGTTCAGATATAATTTTGGTGAAGATTATTAATTCGCTATATGGCTATTATCTGTACTCTAAAAACACCCTATAATGCCTTTCTCTGAATCTAGATGTTATTCCTGTACATTTCAAATTTTCCGGAATATCGAATATTTCCAAATTTTCACGTTATTTGAAGTGTTTTATTTTTTTTCGTGAATAATCAAGATTTCTTATAGAATTCATAGAAAAGGCAGACAAAATAACCGTGTTTTTGCTTGAGCATGGCAAAGAGTATAGAATTAAATTATAGCGAGAATTGTACACTTTCAAACGATTATTAGCCAAAATTGACTAAAAAACACCAAGAAACCTAGGATTTAGCCTAAAATTACAAGCTTAATAAATGAAAAGCGCATCAGATTTACAACTGGAAAAATCTATTCTGAGTTTCAAACCCAGTTTTTTTTTTAAGGCTTGTACTAATATTCCTAAGATAGTATCACTTAGAATCTACGTTACACACACTAGAATCAGGGCCGAACGGACTTGAAAAACCAGATTTATAGAGCGCCTTAAAGATGAGTATGTTTTATGCAATAAAACGGGTATGTTTTACCATTTTATTGCCATAAAGGCACAGCTGCCCAGGTTCACTAGAAAATGTGTGCCGTGTATGGTTAAGACATGTTCCTGAAAGAAACGGCCCAAAGATGGTCCCGTCGATTTCGTTCTGAAAATTTCAATGTGAAAGGTGCTCCTCGCAGTGGCCAATCAGTTATAGGAAGTGTTGATGAAATTATTGCGAAAGTTGAGCAAGACAGATATGTGACTAAATACAGCATTGCCAAAGAACCAGATATCCACCTCCAAACAATTTCAAGAAAGCTGACTACAAAAAAAAAGAGTTACAAGGGAAAGAGACTACAAGGGTCTAATTATATTTTCATGCTGATCCCTTTTCATTTATGTGTGCAGCCCTATCTCGCCTAAGCCACCTTCTAGGCTTCCAAGCGAGGACCATGCCAAACTGCTATAGTAAATATCCACTTACTCTATATGGAACGAGCTTTTTCTATTATTTTGAGACCCTTTCAGCCCCAAATGTGATAATTCCGTGTATTGAATGGGAACAAGTTTCGTTAAATGAGTATTTATTACAAATTATTAGGCACACGATGGATTTTTCTCGAATAATGCTTCTACGAATTCAATGAGCTCAAACGCGGAAGAAATGTGCCATATTGAATGCTACTAAGATCGCTATATTCGTAGCAACGACAGCGTTGGTTTGAAGTGTAAGGCTTTAATCCAGAAGAAATTAAACAAGAAGCACCGATTAAGTAAAAAGTATTGGAACTCCGACGTTATCCGTATGATGATCTGAGTACTGGTGAGGTGTAGACGCGACAGGCGGTTTCTAGTTCGACAGAATTGTTCGGCCGCATTTTTGCCGACTGAAGTTTCCAAGACTTCATTAACTCTGGCTCGCATATAGATGCACATAAACTAGGAGGTTCAAAAGTCGTTTATTCCTCACCTACGTCCGGGAAAAGATGCGACGGGCATTAATCACCTTGACAGATTAATCAGCTGTGCGCTCTCTCTATCTTATTCTCCATCTAACTTAGTTCTGTGTTTATATGAAACTCGTTTAAAACTCGTTAAGAAGTCGTTAAACGCTTCATTACTCTGAGTTGAAAATCATATTTATAGTAACAGGACCTCACAAAGACTCACTGAGGTGAGTGTTACTCGCTGAATGAACAAGTGTCTTCCATAACGTTTTTCTCTTGCTCCTGAAATGGAGCACATTTGCTTAGCTCGCACAGACGCGCCATGTTGGAACATGTCAAATCGGAATATGGTAGTGACAATATGTCAATTTAAGGAGCACAAAACAGGCTAGTATCAATCGCATACAGCAGTTACCAATGAATACCTTTGTAGAAAGAAGAGCGCGACTGCCTGCCCAATGATGTGGCCCGAACTGGCTGTAGGTACATCAGACAGAATGTACCGTACATACGTTATTCTGACAACGTACATTAAGTAGTTATATATTTAGTCGTATATGCGACAAGGTCACCCACGTTATTTTAAGATATTCCACTACATAAAAAGGAGGTTTATGTAACTTAAGGTTTGTGTAAGCAACGAGTAACGTCAAATGAAAGCTGCTTTACGTAGTGGTTAAGGACAGATTGTTTAAGTAGCGTACTGGTTTCGACGGGAACGATTTAATTCGAAAACCATGCTTCATCATGGAAGTGCTACAATCCAACGTCAGACCTCATGTGTTTCCTGACTACTTTTGTTTGTATGAATACATATGTCGATATATTTTGGTGAAGAAAGGTTTATCTCTTTAGACTGAACGTCAATACTGAATAGATCCCCACGGCGACTGACCATCAGCGTTGCAAGCCAAGTCATATATGGGTCTAATATTATGCACTCACTATCTGTCTCAACCAAAGTCGGACAATCAGAGGATACACCCTGCCCGTATTATAATAACGATAGCAGCAAAATATCTGAAAAAAAATGCAAACTTTTTTCATTAAACCCGAATAAGCTAGCATGCTCAAAAAAGTTCTCGCATCTAAGCGACTCGTCTCTTAAAACGGAGATCTCCTTGCGACGATGGTACATAGATGAGCGTTGGTAAAGCTACTCGCATTATAAATTCGTAACCCTCGTTTTTGTAAAGTGAACGAGAGGGCATTACTAAGTAGGCAAATTGTCAAGCCCGTCAATCATGACACATATACAGTTCAAAGATTCATAAAATGAATACTAATTGTTATAACAAATAAACTGTTGTGAAATTTACGGTTTCGGCCCCTGTGGATATAATAATAATATCTTCCAGCCGAAGGGCTAATCTCTAAGTTCAGTGGTCGAACATTAGCGTTGCCGCAATGTGTGTATA